GTAACTGGCTCCAGCTCAATGGAAATAGACAATGAAAATGTTTAAGCATTAATTTTATGGGCATATTCATAAAATATTATGGTAAAGAATAAAAAAGAATATAACTTAAATTTATGGGAGGTTGAGGCACTCCAACATCTTGCCCTATTTTAGCGACCTCATTAGTTTCCATTATATCACATTTTTACTCTAATGTAATAATGAGCTTTTTTAAACCTCTGATGGAATCTTCCCTTTCTCCATTTTAAAAGAGGTGTAAAGTTGAAATGACTACTTTTCTTGTTTACACAATTTAAGCGGTTCCAGTTTCCATATCAAGTTGACCTGATTTATGATTGGAGGGCTGGAGAAGGTAGCTGTTTGAAAAAGCCATTGGCTATCCAGGCGAATAATACTATTTCAGCTGTGTGGGACTATACCATCATCCATTACCCATAACATGTTTGGAGGGCACCAGATCGGAAAAGGCTTCTATTATGGTCAATAAAGCAGGTTCTTTATGTTTTTGAAGATGCTCGAAGTCTGATTGCTTAAGATATTACACAGAGTAAAACTGGTTTGGGGCTACTTGGAGAAGATCTGTCGCTTAGAGTAGGGCTTTTCAACCTTTTCACCCATTGTACCACTTTTAGGATATTGCAACATCCGAGTACCACCAGTCGCCTAGCAAGGAGTCAAAAACTTGACCCCCCCAAAAAAGGAAAAAAGTGATAAAGTACAGGTAGTCCTCGGCTTACAACAGTTCGCTTAGTGACTGTTCGAAGTTACAATGGCACTGAAAAAAGTGCCCCCCAAGCCACCGCCGAGCAAGACGCCTGCCTGCTCACCCGGCGGCACTCTTCCTCCTGTCTGAGGTTTTCATTGTTGTGAGCATTTCTGTTGAGAATTGGCAGCGGGGGTGGGGTGGGGGGTGTTTGGTTTTTATTTCCCCCCCCCCATTTGCTGGGTGGTTGCAGCAGGTTTTGATCACTTCACATGACCCTGGGACACTGTGACCGTCATAAATATGAATCAGTTGCCAAGCATCTGAGTGTAAATCACAAGACCCTGGAGAGGCTGCAACATTCCAGCTGATTGGCGCTTCTTCTGGGCTCAGCAGAAGCGCCAGGATCAGTGCTGCTTTCCAGCTGATTGGTGCTTCTTCTGGGCTCAGCAGAAGCACCAGGATCAGCGCCGAGCTCCAGCTGGAGCCTGGCGCTGATCTTGATGCTTCCACTGAGCCCTGACAGTCCCAAAGAAGCGCCGATCCTGGCGCTTCCGCTGACAGCCCTGCAGCTCTAGCCATCTCTCGCTCAGGCTTGTGCGGTGCTACCACTGGTTCAGCTCATTCCCCTCCCCCGCTACCACATTTCTAGGATGGTTGCATACCACCTGCCAGGTGCCAATATACTACAGGTGGTACCCGTACCACTGGTTGAAAAGCCCTAGCTTAGAGTCCCTTGGTGAATAATGCAGCAAGCTGCTCTGTTTTTTGTGAAACAGAACTGCCCCCAAGACAGCGTTTCTCAATCTTAGCAGCTTTCAGATGTATAGTCTTCAACTCCCAGAATCCCTCAGCCTTCCTTTGATATCGCTGCTGAGAAGGAAAAAAAAAGGTCTTCATGGACCTGCCTAAGTTTAAAGCCTTGATTAGCTCTTAAACCAGTCCAAGATTTAGTTTCACGCAGAACTTTCTTTCTCCTGAAGCTACTCAATTCTCCCTTTTCCTAAGACACTGTTTCTCAGCCTTGGCAACCTTGAGATGAGTGGACTTCATCTCCCAGAATTACCCAACCAGCATGCGCACTCAGAGTTTCCTAGTTTGCTGGTTAATTTTTGAAGGCTTTATTTTGTATTATTTCATTTTTTCCCCCCTCCACCTTCTCCCAAGGAGCTCAGACTAGAATAACAGGTTTTCCCTTTATTTCCCCTAACACCAGCATTCTCTAGCCTGGTGTTGTGCTAGGACTGACAACTCCAGCATAGCTGTACTGGCTTGGAATTTGGAGGGTACCCAGATGGCCGAATCGTGCTTTGATCCTCACTGTGGGAAAGGCCAGGCTGAAGCTCTAGTGCTGAACTTTTGTTGTGGAAGGCAGAGTTGGCTAGCTTCTCCTTATTGAGCTTAGTCATAAACCACCACTTTTCAATCATCGTGCCCGGATGGATTCACATGACAGACTAAGGCGAAACCAAACAACCCATATACGACAGTCCAACATGATCTGTGAAGGTTCAGGGCATGTGAACTCAAATTCTCTCTCTCCGTTCGAAGTTACAACAGCACTGAAAAAAAGTGACTGAGGATTATTTTTACAGTTATGACTTTTACACAGTGGTGGGATTCAAATAGGTGAACAACCGGTTCTCTGTTTGGATGCTGCTTCCGGAAGTCCATTCTGGGCCTGGGCAACAAAAAATTAGCTACCGGTTCTGTCGAAGTGGTGCAAACCGGCTGAATCCCACCACTGCCTTTACAGCATCCCCATGATCACGAGATCAAAACTCAGATGCCTGGTAACTGGTTCATATTTATGACGGTTGCAGTGTCCCAGGATCATGTGATCACCTTTTGCGATCTTCTGACAAGCAACGTCAATGGGGAAACCAGATTTGCTTAACAACCGTGTTACTAACTTTACAACTGCAGAGATTCACTTAACAATGTGGGGAAAAAAGTCGTAAAATGGGGCAAAACTCACTAAACAACTGTCTCACTTAGAAATTTTGGGCTCACTTGAGGTCGTAAGTTGAGGACTACCTGTATTGGCTGTTTGAATGCAATCTTTGTGCAAACTTTAAGTAGCCTAGCTAGCCTTCAGCTGTCTGTTTCTGAAATATTTTGGTCTGGTGGCTTTAAAAAAAAAAAAGTAGAGAAACAGTAACAGCCACGATGCTCTTCCATTCTATTTCACTAGCTAAGTTCATCTCCCCACATAGATGCATCCCACTCCTGCAGAGAAACAAAGTTGTATTCTGCAGATCCAATTTTTTGTTTGTTTTTCTGCCTTGACAGATGGAAGGAGTTAAGCTGGCGCAACAAAGCATGGCATTCCATAGAAATACTGTAGCTTGATTCATCAACGGCATGAATCATCCCAAGTTTTCAACCCCCGTTATAAGACCAAAATTAATCTGGGAAGGTTGACAGTGAAACTATGATCTTGGTAGCGATGGAGGTAAATGTTGGAGTTGGGTTTTGCCAGCCTGAATTCAAAACTGTCTCACATATATACCCTCCCTCTTCTATTGTCCAGCCTTGCAACTTAATACACAGAAGAAACTGCACTCACAGAGAGGGACATTTACTATTTTTCTTGCAAGTCCATCTATCCTGAGTGTTGGGGGTAAATTAAGAATATAAAAAGTATTTCTCTCTCTCTCTCTCTCTCTCTCTCTCTCTCTCTCTCTCTCTCTCTCTTTGAGTTCACAAAAACATCTCTGCTGAATTGCTGTACATAGAGACGTGTAATATGTTATAGATCACTAGCCTACGCTCTATGCGGTATTATTTTTTTTATTGAAGTTTGCTATAGTGTGAAATACAAATAGAAACAAAGATCATATATACTGTATTATTAATGGTGTATTAATAAGCTCAAACTTCAGGGCAAGGTGCAGGAAACATCAGCTTATATGGGAAATGCTCTGTTGAAATTCCACAGCCATGAAACACATGTGGGATATCTGTCCATCTACCCTTATTAGCAGTAGCAATAAAGTTGGGTAGGAATATGTTGTACTTTTGAAAGCCAAGCTGGAAAAATAGATGATAATACCAATCAGTTATTATGGTAATGGAACAGAAAGTCTCTTTCTCTCTCTGTCTCCCTCCCTCCCTTCTTTCTTTTTCTTTCTTTCTTTCTTTCTTTCTTTCTTTCTTTCTTTCTTTCTTTCTTTCTTTCTTTCTCTTTCCTTCCTTCCTTCCCTCCTTCCTTCCTTCTTTTTCTTCCTTCCTTCCTCCCCCCCTCTCTTATTCTATCCAAGTACAGATATCCTCGATTTATAACTAAAATTGAGCTCAAAATTTCTTTTGTTAAGCAAGGCAGTTCCAGCTGGATCCCAAGTGAGCTTTCTCCCATTTGATGACCTTTTTTGCCCCAGCTGTTAAGTGAATCATGTGGTCATTAAGTGAATCTGGCTTCCCCTATTGACTTTGCCCATCGAAAGCTGGCTGAAAAGGTTACAAATGGTGATCACAAGACCCCGAGATAGTGCGACTCTCAAAAGTACATGACAGTTGCCAAGAGCCCAAATTTTGATCACGTGATCATTGGGGGTGCTGCAATGGCTGGAAGCTTGAAAACCAGTCATAAGTCACTTTTTTCCTTGCTGCTGTAACTTTGAATGGTCATTAAACAAATGGTTGTAAGTCAAGGACTACCTTTATTGGACCTGAGATATACAGTCTTAATGGCGACACATAGCCAATACAGGAGAAGACTTCTGTTTGTCTATTGCTGCCAAGAATGGAATTGTAAAGTCATGTTTACGTCTAGTTGAACTCGTAGAGGTTATGGATATGCTCACCTAATATTCCCAACAACAATACTGGAGGGCTTTACCAATGAGTTCTTTAAGGAGATGGGGGATGATCTAGCCTACAGATTTGGGAGCTCCTTGTGGTCTCCAGTCCAGTACTAACCACATCCAGCCTCAACATATGTCCCAGCAATGACAATTTTTTAAAAAAGCATCTATCTATCTGTCTGTCTGTCTGTCTGTCTGTCTATCTGTCTGTCTATCTATCATTGTCTGTCTGACTGTCTGTCTGTCTGTCTATCTATCTATCTATCTATCTATCTATCTATCTATCTATCTATCTATCTATCTATCTAGAGGGAATTCATTTCTCTCAAAGAGGGAAATTTGCATCCATAGTTAAGTGCATCATTCTCATGTACGCCATCCAGAGTCACTTGTGGAAATGGATGGCTGTAGAAATCAAATAAATACATCATGACTGAAACAGATGCATCAGAAAAGACTGAATGACATTTCTCTGTTCTCTCGTGCTGCAGTTGGGATCCAGCCAGAAGCAGAAGGAGGACCAGCCCTTGAACAAGTCGATGAGGATCTTGCAGTGACGCAAAGTCAGAGGAAATTTATTTGCCCTATCACACAGGTAAGTCATACATATAGGTAGCAGAGAGGAAGTAATGATGGTTACCAATAGAAGAGAATGTTTGTGGCTCAAGGTTGATCTGTGGGGTCCTTGATGCTCCCTGAACTTGGTTGTTTTCTTGTAGGCATTTCATTACCTAAGTAGGTACTATTATCAGTGCTGGAAGAGAGTGAGGTTTAGTCTCCCCACTCTCTTTTAGCACTGATGACGTTACATAGTTGGGTGATGAAATGTCTGCAAGAAAATAACCAAGCTCAGAGAGGTTGGTTGAAAACTAAAGGGATACAATGCCTAACAGACAATTGAACATGGAAGATTATGGTCTGGAGTGATCCCCTTTCTTCACTTGTTTTTTGCCTTATTTATTTAATAAATATATTTCTGGTGGTTCAATAATATTTTGCAAGACAAAAGTGAACCTACTTGTCTTATGCAATCTTGAACATATTCTATTTTTTAAGAATATAAAAAAGATGCCTTGTTAGTTTTGGACTCAGGTTCTGCCATCCTTTGTTGTTGTTGTTGTTAATTGCGAAGTCGTGTCCGACCCATCGCGACCCCATGGAAAACGTTCCTCCAGGTCTTCCTGTCCTTCTGCCATCCTTGCAGGAATCCTATTCTTTTTTTAAGTGTTTTCATTTTATTTTCCTTCTCTTCTTTCAAACCTTGATTCAGCAATCCTTTTATTTGTCCTACCATGTATGATAGAAAATCAATTGCAAATTACTTCATGTGCTGGCAGCATTATATCATAGTAATAATTATAAATAACAGTAGTTGTAGTGTCAATTAATGAGTTTTAATTTGGGGAGCTGCAACAATAATACAGAAGCCACTGGCAGACACTCCTGAGTTATTGAACAATCGGTTGTGCTGCCCAATATCTTTATTGCAGGAAGAAATGAAGAAACCAGTTAGGAATAAAATCTGCGGCCACACCTATGAGGAAGAAGCCATCTTGGAACACATCCGGCGCAGACAACAACGTAAGAAGAAAGTCAAGTAAGTAGTCCTGAGCTTTGATGGAAAGTGGAGCTGGGCGGAGAGGGGGGGGGGAGGAGAGAGAGAGAGAGAGAGAGAGAGAGAGAGAGAGAGAGAGAGAGAGAGAGAGAGAACGAACCTTATTCAATTTGCAGAGCTAAAAATGCAGATTGTGTGACTTGACAAAATTCTGGCTTGGAAGCCTGCCCAAAACCGGATGTGTATTTTACTATCTCATAATAAGATATGGGTAGTTTTCACCATTCCATTTTCTCCTAAAAAATATTGTGCAGGGTGGCAATTGAAGGATGCATTTGATAACACGTCCGTAACATGTAGGTCACTGTTATGGAATATAGGTAATCCGCAACTTACAACAACTTTGTTTAGCTACAACGGCACTGAAAAAAGTGCTTTTCACACTTACAACCATTGCAGCAGCTCTGTGGTCACATGATCAACATTTCAGCTGCTTGACCACTGACTCACTGATGACGTTTGCAGCGTCGTAGTGTCATGTGATCACTTTTTGCTATCTTCTAACGAGCAAAGTCAATGGGGAAGCCAGATTCACTTAAAAAGTGTGTTACTAATTTAACAACTGCAGTGATTTGCTTAACAACTGTGGCAAGAAAGATCTTAAAATGCTCACTTAACAACTGTCTCGCTTCACAACAGAAATAGCAATAGCACTTAGACTTATATGCCACTTCATAGTGCTTTTCAGCCCTCTCTAAGCTATTTATAGAGTCAGCATATTGCCCCCCAAAACCGGGGTCCTCATTTTACCGACCTCGGAAGGATGGAAGGCAGAGTTAACTTTGAGCCGGCAGTGATCAGAGTCAACCTGCAATACTGCATCCTAACCACTGCGCCGTGGCTCTTATTTTTGGTCTAATTGTGTTTGTAAGTCGAGGATTACCTATCGAGCGTTCCTGTGCCTCCTAGTTTGGGTACCAGGGACCGGTTCCGTGGAGAAGGGTTTTTCCATGGACCCGAGAGTGCGTGGTTTTGTGTGCTGCCTGCATCCCACGGATGGCGCTTTGCTTGCTCGTGCGGACTGGTTGATGGCATGCCACGGCCCAATACTGGTCCATGGACCGGGGGTTGGGGACCTCTGTCCTAGTGCTTTTAATAGGCTCTTCTCCAGCCCTAACAGATGTGCTGGATTGATTATTAGGTGCCGTCACATTGCCTCCTAGCAACTATACCGGTAGACCTTCAGGGTAATCTGTCTCTGAGCTAATTTTCAAGTCTTCCAATGCTGCACCCATCGCCACTTTAACCGAATCCATCTTGCTTCCTACTCTTTGTCCTCTTCTCTTTCCTTCTCCTTCCCTTTTTTCCAAAAATTGTCTTCGCACATTGTATCCAAAATAGCCTAATTTGAGCTTGGTGGTTTGGGGCCTTCAGTGGGAACTCTGGGTTGCATCTCTTAATTATCCCCAGCTACCACAGTTGCTAATAGGAACAGTAATCTGACATAACTAGAGGAACTAGAATGGAAAAAGCAGCTTTCTTATGTGCTTACCTCTCTTGGATGTCTGATAACAGTAGTATAAATAATCAAATGCTAATTACTGTATGTTAGTTGGAGAAAGAAACCACTCTTTGAAGTATTAGTCCTGGGGATATAGTGTTAGCCATAAAAAGAAACCAATTTGGAACAGGAGTGAGGAATTTAATGCAGAAGCATGCCATATTTTTTTCTAATTTTGCTTTCCATTCCAAAGTATGGATTCCCTTATCTTAGCTAAGGTAAGTGGCAATATTATTTGGTACCTGGGAAGGTTACGGTTGTCGCCATTCATTCCTTCACCCACCTGCCTGTCCGTGGCAGGTGCTGCAGTATGTAATTTCTCTCTCAAGGTATAATTAACACCAGGTACAATATTAAGATGAGTCAAGCAAGGATCCAGATGAAATATTTGTACTAGAGAGTTATAACAGGCTCTGTTCTGACTAGTTTGCTGGATTGCCTTTGGCAACCTAAGAGCATAAAAAGAGCTCTCCTGGATCAAACCATTAGCCTGTCTTGTCCAACCTTCTAGTGTCAGTTTATACGTTAACCAGAAGCTTCCGAGAAGATATGGAAGCAATAGTCTTCCTCCACTGTGGTTCCCCAGCAATTGGTTCCTAAATTATGCTACCCCATGGTTCAGGACGTAGCAAACAACCATCTTTTTGAATTTGTATTTGCATTATCCTTTTTCATTTTACACTATTTGAATTGAGGGCCAGTCTTGTAAATGGCAGTAAAAAGCTGAACTATAAGAAAAAATTGTTCTTGCTGAGCTGGCTTCTGTTGTATCTAAATTTCTAGGAAAAATAACATTTAACAATATCCAAGCTGGATATTTAGATCTGTAAGCAGCAGGAAAACTTATCAGCACTGACCTTGTTTTTAATTTCTTCTCAACAGACTCCAGACCTTATCCCACACTCTACCAGAACACTCTTTTTCTCCTTCAATTGATTCCTTTCACAATTCTTAATTTCAGAATGCACAAGAGCATCTGAGCTGTTGTCTGAATTCACGGAGGACGTTGTCTGGTTGCTTAGACCATAGTTGGCTGGGTTCATACATTGCTCCATGTCATAACCAGGGTCTACAAAACAGAGATTTAACAGAGATGGTCAATCAAAACTAGATGATGATCTAATGTAATATGTCATCTCAGCCCAATCAAGAGTGGCCAATACATTTTACTAACTTGGAGTTCTGTTGTACCATTTTGCTGTTTGAGGTCCACTGAACATGTGTCAGAAAGAAAATAGCTTGTTTTTCAAATTTCCAGTAACATAGAAAGTAATATGTTGGCGTCATCTCAGTGAGTCCATGATTAATGGGTGTTCTGCTGCACCAGCCTTGGGCAACCTGCACATTCTCAGTGTTTCTCAAACTCGGCAATTTTAAGATGTGTGGACTTCAACTTGGATTGTGGAGTTAGAGCAGAATTAAAGTCTTAAATTAATGTCATCTCAGCACTTGGCACTATTCTGTGTTTGGGATAAATGGATTCCATTTTTCGGCAGCTCAATAAATAGATGACTACATTTTGGAGTGGAGAATCTTCCAAATTTCTTTCTTACCATAGTTCAGTGTTTCTGAACCTTAGCAATTTTAAGAAGAGTGGACTTCAACTCCCAGAATTCCCCAGCCAGTTGTGCTGGCTAGAGAATTCTGGGAATTGAAGTCCACACATCTTAAAATTGCCAAGTTTGTGAAACATTGCTCTAGTTCAGGGGTCTTCAAATTTGGCCCTGTTATGACTTGTGGACTTCAACTCCCAGAATTCCTCAGTCAGGCACGCTGGCTGAGGAATTCTGGGAGTTGAAGTCCACAAGTCATAAAAGGGCCAAGTTTGAAGACCCCTGCTCTCGATAGAGAATTGGCAAAGCATCCTTTCACATTATGAAGCTGGTTTCCTAGATAATTCTCAGCAAAGTTTAAATGCTTGTGGATATATTCAATACGAAATGTTGCCAGTAGTAAATTTTCTGTGGATTAAATCTTTGTGTTTAAACCAATGGTTCCTTTCAAGTCCACCTTCGGTGACCCGCTCCCAACAAATTGCTGTATGCTGCCCAGACTCACCATGTGTGTGATGGATGCTATAAAAATGTGATAAATAAAATAAATAAATAAAACATCCCCCTCCCTGTTACTGTTCTGGGAGCCGAGAATAATTGCTGAGCAACAGAAGTACCAACCCGCCTGTGTCATACAGCTCCTTTTTGACTGGAGGCTTTCTAGGCAATTTAACAGAATTAATTAATCTGGGCAAAAACATGTGCCAGATAAATAATAATTATCTTCACCTCTTTGTAGATTGGGAGAAACAAACCCCAAACTGTGAGACTTTGTGGTTTGCCCAAGGCAAATGCACCATGCTGGAGACACAGCACCGGAGAACTGCCTTTGTCGGTCTGGGGCAAACGCCTTCCCAGACGGGATCTGGGGCTCCCTGTGGAGAGAAGGGCCTCAGAGTGGCTGAGGCTGAGTCCGTCTCTCCGCTCCTGGGCCCCTGTGCTGCAGAGGTTGCGAATTGGGCCCAGGTTTTAAAACAGGTTTTATTAAAAGGGCTTACAGTAATCATATCTGAAGCAGAAGCGGTTTGAAAAAGGGCAGGGAACGTGTAGCAGAGGGCATTAATATCCACTTTTTATGGGGAAGGAGAGGAAGATCCTTGCTTCCTTGCACTTTGTATTGATTTTGCAGCAACTGATTTAACAGAATAACAGAGTTGGAAGAGACCTTGGAGGTCTTCTAGTCCAACCCCCTGCTCAGTCAGGAAACCCTATACCATTTTCAGACAAATGGTTGTCCAATCTCGTCTTAAAAACCTCCAGTGATGGGGCATCCACAAACCTCTAGAGCAGTGGTTCTCAACCTGTGGGTCGGGACCCCATTTGGGGTCGAACGACTATTTCACGGGGGTCGCCAAACAAGGCTGTTTGCCATTTTTCCCCCCTTTTCTTTGGCCATGCCCCTGGCACCCGGGGATGTATAAGTGGTTGGGGGTCACCACAACATGGGGAACTGTATTATGGGGTCGCGGCATTAGAAAGGTTGAGAACCACTGCTCTAGAGGCAAATTGTTCCACAAGTTGTTCTGTCAGGAAATTTCTCCTTAGTTCTAGGTTGTTTCTCTTCTTGATTACGTTCCATCCATTGCTTCTTGACCTGCCTTCAGGTGCCTTGGAGAAGAGGTTGACCCCTCTCTTCTTTGTGGCAGCCCCTTAGATATTGGAACACTGCTATCATCTCACCTGTAGTCCTTCTCTTCGTTAAACTAGACATACCCAAGTCCTGCAACAATTCTTCATATGTTTTAGCCTCCAGTCTCCTAATCATCTTTGTTGCTCTTCTTGGCACTCTTTCTAGAGTCTTAATATCTCTTTTTTATATCATGGTGATCAAAGCTGGATGCAGTATTCCAAGTTTTGTGACCTGTTTGAGCAGGCTATATACAATTGTTATTATTGTCATTATCGTCTCTTCCTCCTTCCCTTTGACGTGTCCTTCCATTTCAAGGCAGATCTAATTTGAAATGCAATTTCCAGCCCATCACTGTTCTGCCTCTTCTGTGAGAAATGGGCTGAAAGCCAAATACAGGTAATCCTTCATTTACCACCATTTGTTCAGCAACCTGTGGTAAATGAGCCGAGGTGGCGCAGCAGTTAGAGTGCAGTACTGCAGGCCACTTTAGCTGACTGTGTTCAGCAGGTCAGCGGTTCAAATCTCACCGGCTCAAGGTTGACTCAGCCTTCCATCCTTCCGGGGTAGGTAAAATGAGGACCCAGATTGTTGGGGGCAATGTAAATATATATATATATATATACATTGCTTACTGGTGTACACCGCTTAGAGAGTGCTTGCACTTAAAAGCGGTATATAAGTCTCATAAATAAAATAAATAAAACCTGTTCAAATTGCAGTGGCACTGTGTAAGGGAAATTAACAACTGGTACACAAGTGGGGATACCTTCGCAGCATCTCCACAGTCGTCGCGTGATCGTGATCTAGGCACCCATGCGCCCAGCCCGTGATTGGACATTGCAGCGAGCTACAGTCATGTGATCGCAAACTTCCGTGCCAGCTTTTCACAAGCAAAGTCAATGGGGAAGGCCTCAAGTTGCTCTTATAAGATGCTCCTTTTGTTCTCCTGAGGAGCCCCACAGAATAAAAGACCTCAGGGATCTTGTACTCTGTAGTACCTCTTCCACCTGCCTGTTCAGGCCTGCTCATAGTACCCCTCTGCCTACCTGCTTTCTGCCATCAGCTCTCACCTTACCCAGAACTCTTACCTTTTCCCCCTAATAGCTTGTGTAATTCTGGGATTATGTTGGCAACCAGGATTGCCATTGGTAAGCAATCACGTAACATCATGTCTGTGTCTGTCTTGCCCCTCCCCCCTCTCTCTCCTCTATCTATCTATCTATCTATCTATCTATCTATCTATCTATCATTTTTAAGATACGCCTTCCAGTTAATTATACTGATGAAAAAATAAGCTGGAAGGGGGCTGGATCTTGGAGCAAATATCTCTGAAAACCTGTGAGGATCCCAGCCCTGATGAAAACTCCTGGCCTTGGGTATGTTGCTAGAAGTTTCTCTCCATCTCTGTAAAGGAAATTAAGATTCTGATAAAAGCAAAAGCAATTCCCCTAGCCCAGGGGTAGGCAACCCAAAACACTCAAAGAGCCACTTGAACCCGTTTCCCACCAAAAACAAAACACCGGGAGCCGCAAAACCCTTTTGATATCTAAAATGAAGATAACACTGCATATATCCTTTTTTATCTTTATTATAGGTGTGTGTGTGTGTGTGTGTGTGTGAGAGAGAGAGAGAGAGAGAGAGAATGTTTGTGTATGTGTGTGTGTGTGTACACACACACACATACACACACACGTTAAAAATAAAAGTAAAAATATGACTCTTGGGAATATCCATACTATTAAAACAATGATCACCGAGAGAATGCTTTAAGAGAATAAAATTACATACACACACAGGTAAAAAAAGGATATATGCAGTGTTATCTTCATTTTAGATGTCAAAAGGGTCTCTCTCTCTCTGTCTCTCTCCCTCCCTCCCTCTCTGCCCTTGGTGTGCCACTCCTCTTCCCCCACTCTCTTTCTTTCTCTCTCTTTTCTCTCTCGCCCTCCCTCCCTCTCTCTCTTTCTCCCCCCCCCCATCTGCTGCTCACCTGGCAAGCTTCAAGTTGTTCTCCAACAATCTCAAGGGTAGGCAACCTCGTCTCTTTTATGACTCATGGACTTCAACTCCCAGAATTCCTGAGTCAGCCTAGCTGGGCTAGCTAGCTCTCTCCTGCCCTTCCTGCTTCCTGCAGAGACGCAGCAAAGGGAGGAGCTCCGCCCAGAAAGCTTTTCAGCTCCTCGGAGAACAATGTGAGTGCACTCTCTTTTACACATACACACACACACACACACACACACACACACACAACACACACACACACACACACACACACACACACAGAGAAGCAGGGAAGCGCAATTGCCTCTCTCTGTCTCTGTCTCTCTCTGCAAAGGCAGAGGAGGCTGGGAGCCACAAGGGAAGGCTCAAAGAGCCGCATGCGGCTCCGGAGCCGCAGGTTGCCGACCTGTGCCCTAGCCTGCAATTGGAGTGCCTTTACAGTATATATAGGTAGTCCCTGACTTACAACAGTTCATTTAGCGACCATTCAAAGTTACAACAGCAAGCACTGAAAAAAGTGACATATGACTATTTTTCACACTTATGACTTATGCTGGCTCAGGAATTCTGGGAGTTGAAGTCCACGAGTCATAAAAGCGCCAAGGTTGCCTACCCCTGACCTAGAGCTTGCAAGTGCAATACACTGTGGTTATGTGTGTATATCTTTCAAACTTTTGTTAAGGCAGGAACAGAATAGCATTAGATAAGAATCATGAAGATGAGAGGTTTGGGAACATTTTAGGAATGAGAAGAGCCAACAAGAAGAGCTATCGGAATGAAACTATGTTTTTGGCAATAGTAGGAAAACTTACCGTAAAACTCTTTTTGCCATCCCAGGTATTATCTTAAGGGCTGAAAGCAGGGGTGTCAAACTCAATTTCATTGAGGGCTGCATCAGCATTGGGGTTGCCCTCGGGGGGGGGCGGGTGGGTGTGGCCAGGGTGAGTGCGGCCTACTGGGTGGGCATGGATGGAGTGGGTGTGGCCTACTGGGTGGGCATGGATGGAGTGGGTGTGGCCTACTGGGTGGGCATGGATGGAGTGGGTGTGGCCTACTGGGTGGGCATGGCCAGCTCTACATCGTTCGCGTCAAGGGTGCATGTGGGGGCCTAGGCAGGAGTGGGACAGATCTGAGGATCTCTGGCAGAAGGGGGTGGGACCAGGGCAAATGCCAAGGCATGGTCCATTTCTTCATTCCTCACAAAGGGTGACACCTCCCCAGCATGCACCCAGGAGGCAAGGCCAACATGGCAGGGTCTGGTTCCTTGCTGTTTCTAGACAGCCTTGTGGAGCTAAGACTGAATGCCTTTCAGCATAGATGGCCACTGCAAAATTGTACATTGGCTCCCAGCCAGCCTGGACCAGGGCCAAGGCAGAGGGGGCCATTCCCTCACTGTTTCCAGGATGACTTCGTGGGCTACATGAAATCATTTTGCGGGCCGCATCCGGCCCCTGGGCCTTGTGTTTGACATGTCTGCCTCAAGGTCACCGGAATACTGCAAATGGGTGTGGAACCCTCTTCTATTTTTCATACTATTTGGCTTTCTGTAGTTTTTCTGTGTCACCCAGGGAAGCTGTCTTTTCACCTGTCTTCCCCTGTCTCTTCAAACCTCTCAGAGGATAAGAATCTAGAAGTTCTCATCTGCAGTTCTTTGAAGGTATCAAACAATATGCAGACTCTACAGTCTATAATGCTATTATCCATTATTACCACCACAGGCAAATTGTGTCTTGCTTAAGATTGATCTACAAGGAGAAATGTTCCTAAATCTCAGAAACTCATTCCTCCCAAGGCTATCCATTTTCACCTGTTTATATAATTACCTTCAGCATTCTCACTCCCCAAGCAGAGCTGATTTAGCTACCACGGAAGGTTAGCATTAAATCTTAGAAAAATCCCTTCCAAAATTCAGCATATGGCCTGTTATTTTCTTTGCGTTTATTCATTGTTCCTGGCTTTTTAAAAAATGCCCCTTCAAACTGAACTACATTTATATAAAATTAAGTAAATAGGGAAGGTTGTCAGCCAAGAAATTATCTTAATTTGTGTTTTTTTTGTGAATGCAATATGTGCCAAAACACTTCAAAGAATACACCAACTCTGAGCATGGAGCTGAGATCATAACCTGCAAGGCAGATTCAGTTTTATCTTACAGAACTCTTGAATTTTACACCTTCAGATTATTCTCACTGTAATCCAAAGCACTATAACCAATCTGCATTCTGCACCAGATTGGATGATTCATTCCCTAGTTGCATATATTTATAAACTACTTTTATGGACATACTTTCTTGAAAATAAGATATCAGGCAACTGTATATAGGTAGCCCTCATTACGACCACAATTGAGCTCAACATTTATGTTGCTAAGTGAGACATTTGTTAAGTGAGTTTTGCCCCATTTTACGATCTTTCTTGCAACAATTGTTAAGTGAATCACTGCAGTTGTTAAGTCAGTAACATGGTTGTTAAATGACTCTGGCTTCCCCATTGACTTTGCTTGTCAGAAGGTCACAAAATCTGATCACATGACCCCAGGACACTGCAACCGTCATAAATATGACCCAGTTGCTAAGCATTTGAATTTTGATCATGGGACCATGGGAATGTTGCAATGGGGGTAAGTGTGAAAAACAGTCATATGTCACATTTGTCAGTGCCGTTGTAACTTTGAACGGTCACTAAATGAACTGTTGTAAGTCGAGGACTACCTGTATAAAGGCACTCCAATTGCAGGCTAGAGGAATTGGTTTTGTTTTTATCAGAATCTTAAGATCTTTTACGGAGGTGGAGAGAAACACATCACAGAAAAACAAAAACCCTCTAGGAACAGGTTCTCAAGATATTTGCTCCAAGATCCAGCCCACTGGTGGGATTCAAATACCTGAGCAACCAGTTCTCTTATTGGATGCAGGCCTGGGCCTCCGAGGCCTAGAACGGACTTCCGGAAGTGGCATCCGTGCACTTCCAGTGGGCCATTCTAGGCCTGGGAGGCCTCCTCCAGGCCTCCCAGGCCTAGAACAGACTTCCGGAAGTGGCATCCGTGCACTTCCAGTGGGCCATTCTAGGCCTGGAAGGCCTCCTCCAGGCCTCCGAGACCTAGATTGGACTACCAGAAGCACTATGCATTAAGCCGGTTCTCCGAACTCAGCAAAATTTAGCTACCGGTTCTACTGAACCGGTGCGAGCTGGCTGAATCCCACCACTGATCCAGCCCCTTCCAGCTTGCTTTTTCATCACTATACCAGTAGTTAACTGGAGGGGATATTTTTTTAACTGTTATGCTTTTTAGACATCTGGAAATCAGAAATTCTTGCTTACCTATTACTGCTCACCTGAAGACAACATAACAGGGAAAGAACAGAGACTGCATAGAAGTCTAGTTTCCACAGTCTAGTACAGGGGTAGGCAACCTTGGCTCTTTTATGACTCTTGGACTTCAACTCCCAGAATTCCTGAGCCAGCAGGAATTGATGGCTGTCACAGTTCAAACGTCTGGGGGAGATTCTGCCTTTTGCACCTGAATCCAAGGTAACCAAAGAGAGGCTTTGAAGAATCAAAGGAAGGGAAGATGCAACTCTATTCCAAGGCTGTTTCAGAATTGAGCCACCATAGCCAATGTATGCTCTCTGCTCAATTATTAAACCAATGCAATATCAAAACAGATCTCAGCATGTGGGTAAGATGAATGAAAGTAGCCCTTTGCATTAGCCTTGTGTCCATTGCTAGTATCAGGCATTTCCATTGGCAGGCAGGCATTAACTAAATGGAGCTAATTTTAAAGCTAGTGTCTTGTTTCTAGGTTAGAAACATGGATAAAATAGCACTTCCGCTGAGGATTGTTTTCCCACTGAGGAAGCTAATCAGAACAGCCCCATTGGACTGAAAGATAAAGTGAGAAATTCTGTTTTGCTAATTTGAATGTGTATTTTAACTCAGATTGTTTCTCCTTCTTTACAGCTGCCCCCAAGTTGGCTGCAACAACAGGGAAGTCAAGAAAGCAGACCTGGTGTTTGATGAAGTCCTTAAAAGAACGATTGACATTTGGAATAAACAGAACCAGCCAACACAGTAGAGAGAACCCCTTGCTCCAGCAGTTGATACAACAAAGAGTTCGGGTTTCTAATTTTCAGCTGGTTGTGTAAGAGATTGTTGCTACAAGTGTTTCAATAGCAGGCAAAGTTGAAGGTCTGACCTGTTGCTAAAAGCATTTTCTTGGAAGCTGCCAAGTGTAAAATGCCTTGCTTTGTTTACCTTTATGTGTATATATATATATATATATATATATATATATATATATATATATATATATATATATATATATATATATATTAAAAAAAACAGTATTCAGCTCTTGCATTTTGTAAATAAAACTATGAAGGCCATCTTCAGCCCCTTCATTTGGCAAAGGAGGAAGGACTGCAGAATTTCCTCTGGGTTTCATATTACGAAGTGTACTGTAAATCTTAAATCATCAATTTCTGGTAGATGCTTTTTCCCATGTGGCAACCAGCGTCATTTGCATTTTTGGATATGTGATGGTAACGTATCACTTTCTCTCAGTCCAATCCACCTCGCGGAGTTGTTATTGAAGGGCAACTAGAAGGAAGGATTATTAGATATGTTCACTGCCTTGAGTTACTTATTAAGTAAGAAAAGGTAAAGGTGCAGTTTTCCCCAGTCCTGTTATATCCAACTCTAGGAAATGGTGCTCATCTCCGTTTCTTAGCCGAGGGAGCCAGCATTAACCGAAGACATGTCCGTGATCATGTGGCCAGCATGACTATACACTGAGGCACATGGAACGCTGTTACCTTCCCACCGAAGTGGTACCTATTTATCTACTCACTGTCATGGTTCTGACAGATGAAACTCTTCAAAGAACTTTGAGGCATTGTTTACCTTAAGGAATCTTTATTCGAGCAGCATAGCATCGGCACTTACATAAATAAACGAAACCAAAATCTGGATTCCCCTCCCCTGAGCACATAGTATCAAAACACAATTCTCTCCTCTAATTAACAGTCATAAATCACATTCTCAAATTAGCTTGAAATGCAGGCTTTCCCTCCTGTTCTAAACCGGCCATTTCTTATCATCTCTTATCTCAAAAGCCCTGAATTCACACACTATTACAATATTGTTATGTCTAACTCCCATCACATTCCTCCTCCTCCCCCAGTATCATTTAATTCTAAGAGTAAAGCATAAAAAAGAAAAAGGCTGCATCTCTATATGTTGTCAAAGCAAAAACATCCAATGTTAGCAGCGTGACACATTTGCATGCTTTCGAACTGCAAGATAGGCAGGAGCTGCAGCAAGGGACAGGAGCTCACCCCATGGCATGGTGCTTAGGTCTCAAACCTAGACTGTCAGGTTTCCATTTGACAAGCTCAGCATCTTTAACCACTGAGCCATCGCATTCCCCCCCCCCAAAGCAATAAAGGCAGGATACAAATCTAATAAGTAAAATAAATATATTGATTTAGATGCAGTAAATTGGATTCATGCTACTGAGCTAAGTCCTATTAGGTGATTTCTAAAACACCACGGCTGTATTTACATAGTGGCCCTAAGCTTAGACTAACCGTATTATGACTTAGTATGATGCATGAAGTAAGGAATGCATGGCTACCACCTGAGTGGAGGTAGAAGGGTGTTAACAGGTAGTGAAAAGGGAAAATTTAGCGAAGGAATGTTAGTAGCATTAAGGCAAATAAATACTTGATGCATTCTTCCAAGAAGAGAGCAGCTAAATCTCCCAGTCTGGTTTCTCATTCTGATAAACCTGATGAGACAGCCACAGTTGGGGGGAAGTTGTTCAAGGAAGCTGGCTATGGCAATACATGTCTACCTAGAAACAAGTTTTCAGGAGCCACTACTCTAAACTTCTAGCCTGTCAAGAGATCAAGCTGGAGTCTCGACCCAAGTGGACTTGTCCTCTCCTGTACAATGTCTTACACAGAAGTAGATTCATAGGCTCACAACCTCAGTTAGCTTTACGAGTCTGCAGAGATACACATTCTTCCCGCTATGGTAGAAGAATTCATCAGCAGTGGACATGCTGGTTGGATCAAGATGTTCAGCCTATTCCAGTTTTTTGGGTAAAAGGTGAAGAAAGTAGCAAGAATGGAAATGAGAACGTTTAATAGTACAAATTCTTCTGATGCTTGAGTGATGTGAGATTAAGAATCAAGGTGATGAGACTGGGAGAAAGGAAGGCTGACGTGTTTTTGATTGCTTCTGTATAAGACATGGGCTCCTCCAAAGAATTACTATTGAATACAGAGTTATGGACCAGCTTTCTGAGCAGCATATACATTATTTCAGGGGGGGGATGTGTATGTATATACACTGTATGTGTGTGTGTATGTATGTGTGTGTGTGTATGTATGTATGTGATTTAACCACCAAGCCACAGGCTCTCCTCCCTCTGTGGCTTGGTGGTTAAATCACTGCCTAGTATGTAAACTGCCCAGGTTCGAATCCCATAAAGGGTGTGGCTAACTGAAGAGAGCAGAATGAGCTCGAAATGGCCATCTTAGTCTCCCAATTTAATTCTTTGTCAGAAAAAGAAATTTGGATTTGTAATGTTTCGCAGTTGCGACTTGAGCCTGCTTAACGCCCCTAGTTGGGGGCTGCAAGGCAAAGAGATTGTAAAAAGTAAAACTGCAGTATAGCAGTTAAAAATGTCAAGGTGTAATCAATTAGACATCTAAAAATGTCAAGGTGTAATCAATTAGACATCTGTCTAAAAACTTCATATATATATATATATATATATATATTGTTCAATCGTATCTACTTCTCAGAGAGTGCCTGGACAAATCCCTGCAATTTTCTTGGAAAAGTTTTTGAAAAGTGGTTTTCTATTGCCTCATTTCTAGGACTGAGAAAAGCGACTGACCCTAGGTTACCCAGCTGGCTTTGCATCTAAGGTGGAACTAGAATTCAATTTCCCAATTTCTAGCCTGAAGCCTTAACCACCAGACCAGACTGGCTGCTCTCAAAGCATAGATATGGTAGACTGAGATCTTTACACAAGGTCTGAAGAATTTAGTCAGCTTTTCTGTAGAGTAGTGATGTTGCTGACCACAAGAATCTTTTGAAATCAATACACAGTAAGAGAAGAGGAAACAGTGGCCTTAAAGTTTGAAGGTGACCTATTCTTCTTTCTGAAATTCTCCAGTTGATCTTGGAAACAAGTTAGAATTAGGGATTGTATCCTTGTTTCAGTGATCGTTTCAATAGAGCCAAGCTCTGTGTGTAATATACTCATACAAAACATACTCAAATGGGAGGAGGGGGAAATTTGGGCTCGTATCTGGCTAGTTATCTTATATGGGGAATGTAATTATTGCACTGGCTTTCCATGAATAATTTACAGTGATAAGAACGGAGTAATATTCTTCTCACACAAGCAGGACTGAGTTACGTGGATCTATCCTTAAACTGATATAAGGCAACTATCTCTAAAGGCAATGTGTCTACATTTGAACAACTTGCTTATCCAGATCATTTACAGAATTTGTGGCTGCATTATCTAAGCTTGATTAACTTTCACATTAGTTGGGTTTTTGTGTCTTACTCTGTTTTGCAAACCGGGTGGCTTCAAAATGTAATATATTGTGTGAACTGAGGTGTGTGTCTAGGTTCGCACATCACACAAAGACACAACACATGGTTTGATTTTGATTTACCATGTTGTATGAATTGAGACAAATCAGCCATCAACAGGTACATCAAGGTAAACAATTTCTACATACCATTCAAAAAGGACAATCAAAAAGGTAAAAATGAAACCAAAAAATCAAACACCTCCTCACCAACAATCCATACTCATATAATCAAAGATTAACACCAAGATTAATACTAGACCAACAATCAAGAGTAAACAATACCTCAGTCAAGGAAGTAGCAGTACAAACAATCAAACAGTAACCAACAGCCTAATTAAGGAACCATGAAGACCCACCAACACTGACAAGGCAAGCCAACTGTACATAAAGAGCCAGCAAATTCCACTCCCTCTAGCACTGATGATGTTACCTAGTTGGGTAATGAAATGTCTGCAAGAAAACAACCAAGCTCAGAGAATTCATGCCTCTGTATGAATTCTGTCATTGCTGTTTACAAACCTTGGGTTATGGCTTAGGGTTTTAATCAAAACTTACTACTTCCAGCTGATTTAGTTAATCATGGATGAACAAGTCATGATTTGTATATATTGTGAACCGGATCATCACCAAGGGAAAAAAGGATCACGGAGGTAGGAAAAAAATTCAAGTAATCCTTTATCATACATCATAAAGTAACAACAACAGACGAGCTAGTTTTAGGAAACGGAGCAGAGAAAGAAATTGAAGTTGGGTTTAGCCCCACTTCTTCCACTTTGAACTTCGTCTAGAAGCATCTTTTTTGCTTCTCTTGAACATAAACAAGAATACAAATGGGAAGGCTGCTGGAAGAATGCCAGCAAAAGCATTGCATTTAAGAGAAGACAATCAAGGTTACTTCATCAGTGACCTGGACACTGGACAGAAACTATTGCCACATAATTATCTTACCTTTCCTTCATCCTTGCTTTTGGTTAAACAACATCTGAAAAAGTTATGAAACCTGAACTTAGAAGCAAGAAGCCAAGGCCAGTGGGTGGGCGAATTCAAGCCATTTTGTGTTCTCACACATGAAGGCAAATATACATATCCCAGGATCATATTGTAGCTGGGTCAGTCACTGTAGTAGAGGTTTAGTCTTCTGAGTTTTTGGACTCATGCTGGAACCCATCTTCAGGGAACTTCTCTGTAGCCTACAGAGAAGTTCCTTGAAGATGGACTCCAACACAAGTCCAAAAGCTTGGAAAACCTCTGGTCCTGGTGACTGACCCAAATCGGATCCAGCAACATTTTGTGTTGTGTTGCGAATTTAGTTGCCCAAAAATTCAAAAGAAGTTTGACTTCCAATTATGTGCTCTTGGAGATGTTTAGTTCCTCGTGATTGCTACTGAAACTCTTGAACGTCACTTAAGACATCCATCCAACCATCTATCTAGTTCCTATGTGGCTGTTGAGTAGTTGCAGGTAGTCCTTGACTTATGACTGTAATGGAGCCCGGAAGCACTCACATGATCGGACATGATTTTATGACTTTTTTTCTGTGATGGTTGTTAAGTGAATGCTACAGTTGTTAAACGAATCCGAGGATTCCTATTGGCATTTTGAGGCCAGAAAAGGCCAGAACGTAGTTAAAAAATAGTCATAAATTACAGTCATGTGA